AATGTGCTGACAGCACACAGGAACTCAACACTTGCTGGGGGGTCCTTAAAAAGTGCTGAAAGTGGGCCACTGAAACGTGTTGAGGAGAAGCTGAGGGGTTGTGTGGAGCTTTGTCTTTGAGAATTTCTTATTTGGATTAAAAATTATATACAGAAAACTAGTATGTCAAATATTGTCGTTATATGATATAAAGAAAAGACGAACTAGGAAAAATTTTAAAAAACGAAAGAAGAAGCAGAAGAAGAAGAAAGAGAAGGAGAAGGAGAAGGAGAAGAAGAAAAAGAAGAAGAAGAAGAAGAAGAAGAAGAAGAAGAAGAAGAAGAAGAAGAAGACAAAGATGGAAATAAAGAAGATGGGATGATGATGAGGATAGAAGAGAAGAGGAGGTGAAGGAGGAGGAGGAAGAGAAAGAGAAGAAGAAAAAGGAAAAGAAAATGATGATGGAGAAGAAAGAGAAGGAAGTCCCAGAACCTGACAGACATTTCTGTTTCTTTGTGTTGTTCAGATTGAACTACGACCAGCACGGAGGCATGGAGCTGGACTACGGAGGTGGACGCAAGCGAATCTGGAGCTGGCGAGACCAGGAGACACACGTACACGCTCCTCCCTTCCAACCAATCGTGTTTGGGATGAACCGTTACATTGGTGTACGTTTCATGGCGCAAGAAAGCATAGCCTTGACCTTGACGGGAAGGAAAAGAAGTTGCCGCTTCAATGTGGGATCCAAACTGAAGGTACTTTTTTTTTTTACTTTATCTTTCTGAGTGGGGCTGCTTGCCAGTTTGTTTGCGCTGTCAAAAGTTTATATGTGAGGCGTGCTGACAAAATGAGTTTCTTCTCGAATCCACAGATGTAGACATTGCTAAAAAATCGACACTAAGGTCCAATTTGTATTTCTTTTATTTATGCCATATTCCTTTAAGTATAACATGCCTTTTGTTATTTCATGCTTATAAATTGTACAAACTTAACCTATAAGCGTGATGTACCTATTTCCATAGGGTTCATTTCCGAGAAGTAACTCATCTCGTCAGCACGCTTCATATATCTTTTCTGTTGATAATAATGTCGCAATACGATGGAATCAGGCGCACATTAATTTTGGCATCTGATCTCATTGTGTCATGACACATTTGTTAATAATTTGAATTTTTCGTAATGAATTGCCTGATAGAGGAGGGAACAGCTTTCTCTCGTGTCTGTGACAAGTTTATATATAGTTAAAGGTTCTGGTCTTGTGAAGCTTTCAAAAGCATGATTAAGAAAATTTGTCCAAGGCATATTACGTCAACAATATCATGTATATATGATATATTATATGTATTGATGTCTACAGTGTATGTATGTATGCATGTTTTTCCTTTCAATTAAAAAAAAAGAAATTTTGTCAAGTCCAATTCTTTTACTTGCTTTTTTTTTTCTTCTCAACAGCTTGTGGCACCTGAAAATATAGTGCCAAAGGGTATAGATGAAAATCAGCTGTTCATCGATGAGCGCAAAGTGAAAGTAGAGTAAGTCTGTTTGATTATATTCTTTGATCTTTGTAGACACTATTATCCTTGGAGACCTGAGAACAAGACTGTGCCTACGTCAATTTTTGCTGAACATAGGAAAAGGACCCAAAAATTGAACTTCGGTCTACATTTGATTAGGGATGCTCTGCAAGTTTTGATTTTTTTTCGCTACACAGTTAACGGTACAGTGTCATGTACACTATCAATAGATACGGGAAAATTAATTTTCTCTATTTATACGATACCAAGAACTCAGTTATACCGCCATTTTGGACTAAGGGACCGTCTTGTTCTCAGATCTTCAATTAAGATAATATTCAAATACTTCTTTTGTTTTGTTTTTGTAAAGTGTTTTTTACGGTGCTCGCCACTGCATAAGGTCATATGAGTGCGCGGGACACACCTAATATTTTCAGTTGGTAGGAAATTTTGAATTTTGCACGGGTGGCGGCCGAAGCCTACTCTTATCGATTTTAAACCCCCAAGGGATCTTTAACGTGCGCAACTTGCACACGGGCCCTCCAAGATTTTTCGCCCTTGTCCGAGAAGGCTAGGTGTAGATCTTTCCTACCAGAAGATCAGGAGTGTGGCAGAAAGACAGCAGTAAGGAGGAGCCAAAGAGTAGCAGCAGAAAGGCTGCAGAAAGAGTCAGGAGCCCAGAGGAGGGGGCAAAGGAGGCGAGGGGCAGACAGTGGAAAATGAAAGCAGACAACAGAACATTGCTAGAGAGCAGGAAAGGAGGTGAAAGGAGACAATTTTAGAGAAGAAAATTTTTCGGTCACTACCCGGATTCGAACCCGGGACCTTTGAATGAGAGGCCAACACCTTAACCTCTAGGCCACAAGAGCCCCCCTCAAATACTTCCTTATAAGGTTGATTGTAAGGGGCAAGTTGGAGAAGGGTGGTGGGGGAAGGGGAAGGGGAAAGGATGTGTGATGAATGGGCCCAGCACAATTGTCTAAGACAGCAACCCTTTACTGAAGGGAAAAAGTGGCTGTGTGTCATTGTCAAGGAGAAAATCAGTTAATTTAAACAGGTGGTCCTCTTGGGCAGTGTCTTTATAATATTTTTTAATGCGAGGGGGGGTGGGTGTTACAAAGTGATTGTTTGTAAAGGTGATTGTCTTCGACTGATGGCTGATAGGGCAGGCTTGACTGTATTTAATTTTATTGAAGGCTACTATAATAATATATCTTATCCTCTCTCTTTTTTCATGGGTGGTTGGCAGGTGCTGTAATGTGGTTTGCTCCTTCTTTCCTGTATCAAACATCTATATCTGACGTATCTCTCCTCCTTCATTTTTGTGTTCATTACTTTCTTGTAACACCTCTAATCTTTGGCACTTACATGACTTAATTGTATTGCAAGTGCCATAAAACTCTAACTGAAACAATAAAACAATCTCCCCTTTTTGCCCTCCAGCCACATCTTGAACAAAGTGACGACACTTCTCAAGTTCCCGAAATCTCCAAAAGTGGACCGCATCCTCCCACCTCTCTCCGTGGCGTCGCGCCAGCAGAAAGTGGACAGGATGAAGCAGGAGTATGCTGCCACATTGGCCATTCCGCCAACCGTGCCGGGCAGGAAGCAGAAGAAGATTGTCAAACAGTCTCGTCTTTCCCCACTGCCCACAGTGTCAGTGAACTGACAGACGTCATTGGTCTAGTGATCAGCAAGCAGTTTATATCTCTATATTTTCTTATGTATTTGTGGGATATCATGGTGAAATCAGGCACTCGTCAAAATAATGAAATCAAAGGAACAGACATTTTTCTGTCTTGTGCAATTTTTATTGAAAATTTGTTTGGGTCTCAACACCTTTTAGGTCCATTTAGGAACACATTTTGTTGAAATTTGTTTTGTTTCCAAGGACACTCACTATAGAGGTCATCAAACTGTGACAGCTATTTTCTCGCTAATTTTACCTCTGACACCTTCAATTGGTCATTTTTAAGGACAAGCGGGCTAACCCAGATTTCGGTGGTTTCCAGAAATCTTGACTAAGAGCTAAGAGAAATCATTCTACAGATGACTCTGCTTGTGCCGAACTCCCTCAAGTTGAATTTTTTCTCGGGTCACAGTACTTTTATTTCTTTACAGTTCCCAATGATTAAGTTGATCTTCAGATGAGTTTATCTGTTTTTCACTCCTCCGACAGCATCAACTCATCTGTAGTCATCTGTATTATAGTGACACTGCTCTGAGTGAGCCAAAGGATATTTGTTAATCTAGTAATTGTACTATGCCATTACCACATTGTATGGTACAAGTAGTAATTGTAGAAATGAAGAAGAAAATTTTCGCCTGACACAGATATGGTCATAGCAGTGAGTGAGTTAATCGGAATGCCGGCCAATTCTTTATCTGAACCATTGTGAAAGATCTCCTTGTGAAGTTAAAATCAATCTTAAAATGTTAAAATATTGCCAAAACAAAGAAAATGCTCGTTTTCTCCCATAGAGTATAGAGATTTAAGCCTTAAGTGCTCAAGGATTCTTCAACTTTCCTCTCTTGATCCTGCAATGTAATCTTACTTGTAGCAAGATAAGTGTGAAGGACAGTGTGAGTGAAGTCTATTTAGTTTCTACATCACAGTCCAAAATATTAAATAAATGCAAATAGTTGGCCAGCTTTTCAGGGGTACTGGGCCCAATATTTTTATGTTTTTGGGTTGTTGTTTTTTAAATTGCAGTTTCTTAATCTGTGGTATCAGCTGCATTTGTATGAGGAGAACTATTTTATTGAAATTCAAATTTTACATTAAGAAAAAATAAAGCAAGAAAAGATTTATAATTAAGGTACAATGTTAAAAAAATTGTTCGTCGAAATAATGAAACTGAAGAAAACAGCATTTTTTCCGCCGGTTTGGCTATTTTTATCAAATTTTTGTTTTTTGGCTCACCTTTTATATTCATTTAAAAGCACATTTCTGTATGGATTATACTGAAAAACATTGATTAACGCTACAAAAAATGTAGTTTTTCAGTTTCCAAGGATTTTGAAGCTATGGAGTTCACTCAGCTGTGGAAGCCATTTTCTCCCTAATTTTTCCTTTGAAACCAGGTCACCACCACTTCCTGTAATTGCAATTATCACGACTTATATCCAAAGATAAAAAATGGGTATTTTTTAAATTGAAAGCAAGAAAAATAAACAAGCTTTAAGTATTATACCAATAAATCCACAAGCCCAAAAATTGACCTAACAAATTTGCCAAAAATGTATGCAAATGGTGATACTGCTTATTGAATGTGAAGATGCATGACCATATTCATGGTTTTCTATCTCTGTTACAGTACTAGATGGTAAATGTGAAAGCCGTCCATGTTGAAAATGTCTTTCATGTCTCAAAGCAATTGTCTACTACTCCACAACTGCTGGATATGAAGATCGGATATATATATATATATATATATATATATATATATATATATATTGTTGTGTATCGTTCATTTGTCGTAGGTTTAACGACAATGTATGAAATGT